ACCATTAGACCTTGTTTTGTCTCCTTGAACAAGTAATGTGTTCGTTTACTGCGTAATCCTCATGTTTACTGAATTAGTCTCAAGTCTTAATGAAAGTCATTCCAGTGTGTGAGCACTTGGGATTTACATCCTCACATAAAAGTACTCAATCAGCTAGTTTCAGTAGAACTATAGGATTTTAGGGTTGAAATGCAGGCATGAGCTCACTTGATCCTACCTACCTTTTGCTCAGTGTGACCATCTTGCAACAACAGTATCCCAGGCACATGGTCACTTTAATGGTTCACATGAAGGAAAGTACTATACCTCTCAAACCAGCCTATTCATATTTGATCAGTTCTTGGCATTAGCAGAAATATGGTACATTGAAATTTCTTCCCAGTTCTGTTCTCTCGAGTAACAGAAGACAAGTCAGCTCTGTTTTCAACATGACAGCCCTTCCGATATTTGAGTACAACTGTCATGTCTGCTTAATCTTTTCTCGAGGATAAACATACAGCTTTTGCAAAAATTTCTGATAGGACTGGGTTTCTGGACCTTTTACATCATTCTTGGCTTTCTCGGAACATGTTGTAGGTTAAACACAACTTTTCTGTTGTCAGTAATATCAGCCACCAAATTATGGAATAAAACATGTTTAGGTTCTGTGAGATACTCTTGTGTCATAATCCTGAATGGGTTCTATGATACAGGACATCTCCCTGCACCACAGATTTGGCTGTTGCTGCTGAATTTTGGGGCAGATATAGTGGCTCCTCCCAAGTTTGAAAGCAATATTAATATATGCAGCTGTGGTTTGTTTCCCTCATGGATAAGGATATCTGTTAGTGTGCCAATGTGGCATCTGCAGCTGGACAGAGTCTATCTAATGCTGAATAGAATGTAAACATGAATTATATGAAAAAGAGTGGAGAATGCTATATTGTGTGAAAATTCCTTTGGCAAAGGGTAAGATTAAAGTAAAAAAAATGCAGTTTGGCATTTGTGGAGCAAAAAAAGCTATGGTAAATTCTGTTTTGTCTATATCTTTATCTTGACCCTTACTTTTTCATATAGTGATTTCAATTGTTCAGCAGACTTATAGAATCATAGAATCATAGAATCAAAGAGTTGGAAGAGACCTCATGGGCCATCCAGTTCAACCCCCTGCCAAGAAGCAGGAATATTGCATTCAAATCACCACTGACAAATGGCCATCCAGCCTCTGCTTATGTATTTCACTTTGCTGTAGTCTTTACAGCAAATCTATAAGATAGATCAGTATTGCACGAGTGAGATTGGATTGTATCTGAGGTGCTAGTTTTACACAATTTTTGCTGAATTAACAGCAGAAATTGTGATTTATATCTTTGAGATGACATATGTATAACAACATGCTTGTGTAGCTAGTTGAAGATGTGTTATTAACTTTGCCTTCAGTTAAATGTTTTTCTTAAAAGAAGCAGCCATTTTCCCAATAGATATCCCTGGTTAATTTTTAAATCTTCCTGAAAAATGATGACAGCTCTATAGCTATTGGCATGGCTCATCAGTACCACTTATATTCTTATAAAATAAACATTAAGATGTGCTAAATTATATAATGAACAGGATTGATTGTAAAGAACAGATTTGTTAAGCTTGTTATGATATGCACTGCTGTTTTGGTTTGTATTTTTGTGAGTTTTTAAAATATTACGAGGGCTATGTGAGATGCTGGTAGAAAATCTTCAGAGTTAAAATGTAGATTTGGAGTGGTTTTGTTAGCCGTGCAACAAAATATAACAAAAATTTAAAAATACATTGTTGTGCTACCAGACCCAAGTGCCACATGGCCAGCAAGCGTTGCAACTTTACTTGCATCATAATTCCCTCCACTACAATTTTAAGCTTAAACTCACATTACCATCTCAAGATAGATGCAGCTGTATAGCCATCATCACATTTCTTCCCCTAAAATGGCTTTTAACTTCCATACTTGAAGAAACCTGTGATGCTTGATAACTTGCATTTTCATCATAGGCTATCACTTGTGGCCAAGTGTGATTCTCTTCCAAAGGTAGAATCTTGGCAGTGGGTCTGTAAGTGACTGTAGAGACCTATTCTGGATCTATATGGTCTTTCACGGTGAGGATATAAATTTCCAGATGGAAGGTGGTCCTGACAAGGGTTTGCTTGACATGGTTTCTTCTTGGCAGATTTCTGTCTTTTGCCCTCTATCCGTGCCTCTTGAAAATCCACAGCACTGTTGGTAACAGCTGACCTTCAGTTAGAACACTCAAGTGCTAAGGCTTCCCAGTTTTCAGTTATTATTCTCTGTTTTTGAGGTTAGCTTTAAGCCCATCTTCAAATTTCTTTTCCTGTTTACCAACATTCCATATTCTGTTTTTGAGCTGAGAGTAAAGTAACTGCTTTGGGAGATGGTGATTGGGCATTCAGATACCGTGACCAGTCCAGCGAAGTTAATGGCATAGAATCATCACTTCAGTGCTGGTAGTCTTTGCTTCCCAAGAGATTTGTAGGATTTTTCAAAGGCAACGCTGATGGAATTGTTCCATAAGTTTAGAGGGATGTTTGTAGACTGTATACATTAGAGTTGGAAGAAAAATAGCATTTTAAGCAAGCATCTTGGTATCTCTACAAATATCCAGATCCTTGAATACTTCTGCTTCATTCAAAAACATGCTGCACTTGCAGAAATCAGATGATGTTGTATTTGACTTTTTTGGAGAAGTGGTTGCCTAGGTAGCAGAAATGGTCAACATTTTCTAGCATTTAAGCTTTATTTCTGTCATTGCAGAGGGATTGGTTAGTGCCGGCTGGTAGAGTACTTTGGTTTTCTTCAGTGAGAGGCCAAGCTTTACATATGTTTCTGCAAAAGTTTCTAAAGTGACTTCTAGATCTTCCTCTGAATGAGCACAGACTACATTATCCTTAGCATATAGGCATTCTGTAACAGAAGTTGTTGTGACTTTGCATTTGGTTTTCATCCTGGTGAAGTTAAAGAGCTTTCCTTCTGTCCGATATATGATTTCCACACCGCTGGGAAGCTTCTCATCAATAAGTTGTACAATAATAGCTATGTAGATGGTAAATAAGGTTGGGGCAATAATGCATCCCTGTTGGACACCTGATACCACCTTAAAGGGTCACTTTGGGAGCTGTTGCTACCCAAGGCTGTTGCCATCATGGAGGGGCTGCAGGATGTTCATAAATTTACCAGGGCATTAGGAGGATGATCAAAAGCATTACAATTAACTGTGTTGATGGCCTTTGTAAGGTTGATGGATGCCATGTATAGGGACTGATTTTGCTATCTGCATTTTTCTTGGAGCTGTTGTGCAGTGAAAATAATATCCACGGTTCCTCTGGAGGTACAGAAGCCATTCAGGGATTCAGATAGGTTGTCTTCCTGAAATAGATTGAAGACGGTTTGTGAGGATTCTTGTGATAATTTTCCTGGCAGAGGTTAAGAGGAAGATACCTCAATAGTTTCCACAGTCTGTTGTTTCTCCTTTTTTGAAAAGAGTGATAATGGCATCCTTGAAGTCTGCTGGGGTCTTCTTAGTCACCCACATTTTTTTCATTGAGCTTTTGTAGTTGTGTCAGCTCAGGCCCACTCTCTTTAAAGTTTGTAGCAGATACCCCATTGGGTCCACTGGGTTTGCTGTTTTTAATTATTAAAATATTAAAAGTAATACATTAAATTAATACATTAAAATTAGCTATTAAACCACACAGATCTGAAGTCATATGACATCATTTAAACAAGAGAGCTGCAAATGTCATTGTTTACTCCAACTATGAACTGGGTAGTTAAGTTCTCAGCCTTGGAACCAAAACAAAATCCACGTAGGGACAAGGGAGAAAGTGTCATCAGACATGAAGGAGCCATAAAATATATAGTATTATTTATAAATCTCCAAAGCCCCTCTCCAACCAGTCAGATACATTTCCAAGGTTGGTTTGTGTGTGTGTGTGTGTGTCGGGGCAAATTGAGAAACTTAAGTCGCCTCTGGTGTGAGAGAATTGGCCGTCTGCAAGGACATTGCCTAGGGCACACCTGGAGGTTTTTTGATGTTTTACCATCCTTATCAGGCCTGTAGCCAGGATTTTGTTTCGGGGGGGGGGGGGCTGTTTTGTGGGGGGGGGGGCTGAGTCTGAGTGAAAGAGGGTCTACCCTAGCAAACCTTTTGTATCGTTACCCCAATACCCCCATGCATATGGGATATATTGAGTATAGTGATCAGATCATGATATGAATAAACATAGCAGTTTAAATAATGCACCAGTAAGGCCTTCTCACGGACCACCATCAGAATTTGGGGGGGGGGGCTGAAGTCCCCCCAAGCCCCCCCCCCCCCGGCTACATGCCAGATCCTTATAGGAGGTTTCTCTGATGTCCCCACATGGGAACTTCTGATCTGTTGGTCTTCAGTCCTTCTGGCACAAGGGTTTAACCCACTGTGCTACTGGAGGCTCCTTATTTCCAAGGTATACTAAGCAAACATCTTTAATTATCAGTTGTTAAAACAGTAGTGCTGTTTAGGTCCAAATTAGGCTGTTAGAATCCCTGATATCTATCAGCTAGGAAGTGTATCCATCACATTTTTGAGGGGTGCACCTCAGTAGATTTGTATTGATGTATTTAGGTCATCCCACTGTTCTGGCTTATAGGTTTCAGTAGGTGATTTGTCCTGCCACCTTAGAAACTATATATATCTGGCTCAACTTTACAGATTTGGAGCTTCTAGTAAAAAACAAAGTGGAGAGGGGTGTTCCACAAGCCTGACATCTGCTATCCTTGGCTCTCCTGAACATTGACTCGGATTTCAAGAGAAGATCAGTAGTGATGAGCAGCCTTATATATAAGAATGAGTACTAACTTTTCTTTCATTTGCAGAATCCTTAAGTCCCATGGGAAAAAAAGTTCAGATATAGTCTAAGTATGTAGTTTCAAACATGGAACAAACAGTAGGTTTTCATTTAACAATGTTTTGTATGTTTGTGTTTCTTTTTAGGAGCTGGTGAATCAGGAAAGAGCACAATTGTCAAACAAATGAAGTAGGTTTGTTTTAAAAAGTGAAAGTATTAAGTTAATAAAGTTAAGCAATGATATGTTAGTCAAAGACTTTTTTTTCTTGTTAGAATTATCCATGAAGCTGGCTATTCAGAAGAAGAATGCAAACAATACAAAGCTGTTGTTTACAGTAACACAATTCAGTCCATTATTGCTATAATTAGAGCAATGGGAAGGTTGAAGATAGATTTTGCGGATTCTGCCAGGGCAGTAAGTATTGCAATTCTTTACTTAACATTCATGTTTGATGTTGCACTTAATTCAGGAACTGGCATATAAGAATTTATAAACTTTGTTATTAATTACGTTTTTCTGTCATCTACCCCAATTGATTCCCAAAGGGGTCGCTTCATATCTTAGCATTCTGTAATGGGCGAATGTTAAAAAAATAAATACAAAACCTTCAATTCAACAGAGAAATATGTAAGAAATCTTCCATTGTCATCAGTTTATGCCAACCCCCGAAGTGAAAGCAGATGAAATGTTTGTACAATGTTTGTACAATGTTTCCAAAATAGGGGGATTTGGTGTTTTATAATGCATTTTAATTGTATTTATTGTATTTTAACTGTATTTTTAACCTAACACACATAATTCTGTTTAATTGGGTTTTTTATTCTTTATTTACCTTGTTTTAAATTGATCAAAGTGTGTGACTGTTAGCCGCCTTGAGTCCCCCGGGGATGAAGGCAGCGTATAACTAAAGTAAATAAATAAAATAATAATAATAATAATAATAATAATAATAATAATAATAATAATCCATTCTTCTTCTTACATGTTTGGATAATTTTAACACTTCTATACATTTACAGATGTCCTATTTGGATATCATTCAGTAATTTGTTTCTCCCTGTGCTGAGGGTAGGGAAGTAAGAAGCAAAGACTTACTTACATCTTGTTGGGTTTAACAAGGAGTATAACCCGAAGAGTTCAAAAGAATAAGCAAAAAAGCAATCTTTAAATCCTTGGTTGTACACACTGTTTAGGAACTTTCCTCTGACTAAACCCTTATGAGTGGCTGTTCCTCCCCATCCCAGGAACTCCCTACCTCGGGAAGCCAGAATGAGCTCCTCCCAGCTGTCCTAATCAGACAGACTTTTAAAGAAGAAAGTTTTAAAGATCAAGCCAGAAAATGCTGTGTTTTGTTTTTATGTATTTCAGTAGTTTTTTACTGGTTTTACCTGTTCATTTTTTAAACTCTTAGGTTTAATTGTATTTTAGTGTCTCTGTGTCTTAGATTTTAAATTATACATTGTATTGTTTTTAGCATTTCTAGCTGGTTTAAGTCTCTTAGGAGAGAAAAACGAGCTTATTGTTGTTGTCGTTGAAGTAGATGTTATATACGTGTGTGTGTGTGTATAAACATGACTGAGCAAGCAAGCATTTCCTAAATAGTGTCCTACTAATTTTCTAGCAAGCATGGCATTATAGAAATACTGTTTTAGAAAACCTAATTGTATTATAGGCATTAAGATTATATTATTGTAATTTGGTTCATATAGATCAGGGGTAGGAAAGGGCCAGTACTTGGGCTGCATGTAACCCCTGACGGCTATTTTTGTAGTGCCCATGAATCAAAAAATCTTCTCCAAAATGTCTGAAAGTCACTTTTAGATAAGGTGAAAGTCATTTCCATTATGTTTTGAATCCCCCTCCACCCCTGAAATAAAAAAGGACATTTTCAAAGTATTTTTTCACCCCATATGCTCTGTACATCAGCAGTTACCACACTTTGGGGGCCACCTAAAGGAGCCTTTTGTGAAACAGGAAGTGACTTCCCCTCACTTTCTATAATTAAAAATGGTCCTAAAATACCACAGAGCATTTGGGGCCAAATTTCAGTATTTTGCAAAATAAAAAGTATAGTTCTCAAAGTTTCCTTGGGGAGTGGGAGGGCATTGAATCCCTTGACATTTTCCACATTGGGTGTAGATTGAAGGGTCATCTTCCAAAATGACTTGCAACAAAGTCATGTAAAATCCCCGTTGCCATTATGGGAGTTGAAAACTTTGAATGACTGATTTGCTCACTGACTGAATAAAATTAGTGGTATTCCTAACTAGTTTTTCTTTCCTTTCAACAGGATGATGCCCGTCAACTTTTTGTTCTAGCTGGAGCAGCAGAGGAAGGCTTCATGACAGCAGAACTGGCTGGAGTTATCAAAAGGTTATGGAAAGACAGTGGTGTTCAAGCATGTTTTAACAGATCAAGAGAGTATCAGCTTAATGACTCAGCAGCATAGTAAGTATAAAACAAGAAATATGCCATCTCCTACTAGTGTAATTGAAAGACTTCAGGTGCCAAATTCATGTCATTTCTGAAAAAGGGATGCACCAATTGAGAAAGTGATTGTGTGTTCCTGCATGGCCGGGGTTTGGACTGGATGGCCCTTGTTGTCTCTTCCAACTTTATAATTCTATGATTCCCTGATACAGACAGTTGAGATCAAACTACACCGAATGATGCTCTGTCATAATACACTAGAGATTTTGGAATATGTGGAGCTTCCTCTTTATGTCATATGTATTCGTAAAGTTTTGTGATCACCAGCGTATGTAATGGTCATGTGGGATCATTTTTGGTAAAAGAAGCAGTTACTAAAACTGTAGGGGCTAGAAGGAAACGTGCATTGGTAATCTTTGTGTAGATTGTCAATTTGAGGTCAAGAAACGGGTTTTGTGGTTGGTTTTCTACCTGTAAAGCACTATGTACAGTGATTACACCAAATAAATAAACAATTTACTGTCATCTTACTATGGGGGAAGAAATGCAACACAGTCTTGATTGTCCACAAACTGTCCTCTAACTTTGTCAGCTTCAAAATTCTGATACCAAATACCATGTTGATGAATGAGAGAACAACAATCAGGCTGGACCCAACTTTGCACATACATGCTAAACTACTCTATAACAGAAAGATGAGACTGGATGAACACAGAAGGAAGTTAGCTCTGCTTATCTGGATTTTCTTTGCTACAGAAGCAAAGACATTGATAATAAGGGAGGTAGAGGGACAGTGACCCACTGTGATTCTATCTCCCACTGGGTTCTCCTGTTCTCATTCTACCAGGTTTAAGTGTGTGTAAGATGAACACATGGGATAGAACAGAGATTCCATTGGTGTATCGCCCACTTTGCTTCAGAATGGGCTTGCTTCTTGAACAAGCTAAGGTGGTCTCATGGTGGGTTGTGTCATGTATCATGTTCTGCAGTTGATGGTAGTTGGTGGTGGCAGGCTAAGCAGTTGGTGATGGAAGGATTGATGTAAGTCTTAGTTCTAAAGGGCTGAGTAATCTGTAAGTAAGAGTTTGTGGGTGAAAGCAATTAAGGTTGGAGGCATGCAAGAGAAAGGTTGCAACTTGGTGTTACTGGATATAAGGAACTAGCCTTGGGACTGGTCTTTGGGAGAAAAGTATTTGTTTTATGTTGGTGGTAGATGCTGCTGGATTTCCCCCAGGTTTGTGGATTTTCAGTATCTTGACCTGTGTCCTGAACTCTTGGAACCTTGAATCTCTGGACTGGCTTTTGACTATGGTATAGATTCTTGATCCCTGGACTTTACTCATTGAACTCTCGGCATTTGACCACTGGACTGGATCCTTTGACTACGGTGTTCTCTTGAACATGCATTAGCAATTGCTATCAGTCTTCATTTTATATTCTGTGGCTGAGTGCTATCTTTATGTTTTACATTTGGACTATGAAAGCATCCAAAAAGGAAGTGCTTCTTTAAATGAACGGTTCGATGCAAACTGGGTGTTTGTTTGATTCACCTCTTCCTTATACTGGCAGAGCCCTGGCAACGTGACAGGTTGTGCTTTCATATGTCCATATTTATGCTGAGACCACCCTGTCATTCATGGTTCTGGATTTTCTGTCCTTCATGATGACAGTTAGTTTGTTCTGACTAGTATGAACCCCAGATATTTGGCAGGCCACACTCTGACCCAGTTTTCTCTGCTGGTTGGCCTTTGGTATGGAGGAAAATTTTTATACTTTGAGCAGACCATACGCAGATCAGACTCACTGAAACTGAGTTTTGGGGAAAATGATAAGCAAATTAAGATGCTCAGTTCTTGTGGGTTTTTTCGGGCTATATGGCCATGTTCTAGAGGCGTTTCTCCTGACGTTTCGCCTGCATCTATGGCAAGCATCCTCAGAGGTGAGGTCCACACCAGGAGGATAAGGCCCCTTCAATCCAGATTATCAAAGCAAACAATCCACATTATCTGTTTGAACTGGATTATATGTGTCTACATTGCCATATAATGTAGTTCAAAGCAGATAATCTGGATTTTACATGGTAGTGTGGAAGGGGCCTAATATATCTGCATAGGTTTATATTGGGGAATTTGCTACAACCCAATAAGAAGATGCTTTTAAAGTGTGATTTCTGGAATGGGAAAATAACCAAGGTGGTGACTACTAGTAATTTCCAGGTTTGATCTTCCAGTTTCTGGCTTCCATGTGTATTTGTGATGTAGAATCATAGAGCTGGAAGAGACAATGATATGTAAGCAGTCCAAGAAGCCCTCTTATTCGCTGAATGAGCTCTAAACCCTAATTTAAAACTCTCTTTGACTATTGTTTTTTTTTTAATTATAAAGGAGTGGGTCAAATTATGTTCTGTTTGTATGCCTAAAATATTCCTTTTCTCTCTGTATTGATAACAAATCTTCTAATATGTTATCGCTCAAAACATAAGTTTTTTCATTTTTGTTCAGAAGAAGTGCAGAAGAGGTCTCAGATCAATCAATTTTATTATCGGAGTATATAAATCAAATCTATAAGTAAGGAAAACCATCTTTAGATCTAATTCATCTTGAGTCCCTGTAATCATACAAGTTTGAAATAGAATATAATTTATTTATTTTATTTGTTTATTTACGACATTTATATGCCGCCCTTCTCACCCCGAAGGGGACTCAGAGCGGCTTACAAGTCATAAGTACATACAACATACTACATAATACATAACTAGCGTAGTACTATTACATCATTCATAACACTAGTACTACATAATATTACATTATTGCTGGGGAGGGGCGCTTATGTCACAGGGGACAAGATGGCAATGTCCTCCCGGCTCCCCTTCTTTATTCTGGCCCCAGAGGGGAGAAGATTTCTCTGTCAGTTTGAAATTAGGCATAAGCATATTATTTTGAACTGGGAAAATTCAGCTTAATGGATTTCCACAAAAAAAGTCATAATATTTTTTCTGTCTATTAATCTTTTCTTTTGCTGTGCATCAGTCTTTGAGAAATCTTACAAAGCAATTTTAAACTTGCATGTGGGATTAATCTTTAAAGCAATGATTTGGTAAATCAAAATGTTTTATGTTTATATTGCTTAGTTTTAATGGTTTTAATTCATAGTTATGTTTTAGATATGTTATGTATTTCTTTTATATATCTGGCATTGAATTTTTGCCATTTATTATGTTGTAAACTGCTTTGAGTCCCCCCGGGGGTGAGTAAAGTGGTATAGAAATGCAATAAATAAATACTTAAATAAAATTCATTATTTGAAATTTTGATTTGCCTTTAGCAATTACTGTGCTAAAATTAACCCGTATATTTATACGAATAATTCTTGATATAAGCAATGTACCTATTGATGTTTTCTCAGGAATAAGTCTGCCAGATCTCAAAGGGAATTACTTCTAATTAAAGGTACACAGGATTTCAACCTTGCAGTAGAAGTACTTTAACTCAGAAACATGTCCCCCATGTTCAGTATAACATCTTCCCAGAGAAGTGTAGAGGATTAGTTTTATTGGGTTGCAACTATATATGCATTTGTCTGGGGGTAAACCCAGTAGAGTGCAGTGAGATTGCACTTTAAATGTAGTCGCCTTTCCAACCTGCTCCTAAATTCAATTGTAAATTGCAAACAATATGTTGTTAACTTTATTAAATTGTATTGCCTTTTTAAAAAAAACAAAAACAAATATGAAGTTGGTGTTTCTTGTGCATGCAGATTGTGATAGAGATTAATGTTTTACTGATATTTTTATCTTTTATCTTTATTTTATTCTATTAATAATTATATATTTTCAGTTACTTGAATGACTTGGACAGGATAGCCCACACTAACTATATACCAACACAGCAGGATGTTCTCCGGACCCGAGTGAAAACTACAGGAATAGTGGAAACCCATTTTACTTTCAAAGATCTCCACTTTAAGTGAGTAACTGCCAGAAATGTGTCCATATATTTGATATCAATATTTAAAAGAACGAAAGAAAATGTCTACAGGTTTGCCCATGACAACGATAACACATTTGGTGTCATTCCAAATGAGGGTGGAGCATGCAGTGTGGTTAAAGCTTGACATGACTGATCCGATCCCTGTAGATTCTTGTAAATTTATTTAATTCCCTGTGAGAGAAGTTATATCCTCCTGGGTGAAAGACAAGATTGTCTGATAGGGTCTTGAAGCAAAGACTAGCAATTAAAAGCTAGTTGCAAAAAGACCTGGAAGCAGAGAAAGTCATAAATCTTGCAACTTAAAGCAGCAATTTCAAGGCTGCATCTGGAAGAGAGGCTGACTGTGGAATCAGACTATCAACATGGAGAGTCTTAAAAGGTAATGACAGCTGATGACAAATTAGATTTTTTAATGAGCCGAATGAAGGACTTGGACTTATCTGTAAAAAAGAATTGATGGTGGAAGTTCGAGAATCCAAGGCTAGACTGATGGAAGTAAAAAAAAACTTGGTGAGGAAAATCTCCAGATTACAGAAACAAATTGTTTCTTTAAAATTGCAAATAGATTTGGAAAATTGGCATAGGCACCATAATTTAAGGATTAAGTGAATGCCTGAACACATACGAATCCTTGATTCAATGGTTCTCAGAGTATGGATTACAATTTTCAGATTTTGAAAGAGCCCACCAAATTTTACCTTTTAGGAATGCTAGGAAAGGAGTTCCTAGACACGTTGTTGCTCTTTCTATAGAATGGATTAGACACTCAGTCTATATGAAGCTGTGAAAAATTGGAATTTACAATACAAGGAACATAAGGATCATAAAGACCATAAAATATTGATCTTCCTTGATCAGCCTAAAGAAATGCTAAATGAAAGAGAAACTTTGCATCCAGTTACTAGAAGATTGGTTGCAGGTGGTATAAGATTTACTTGGGGCTTCCTGGAAGTAATAGCTATCTTCAAGGACGGGAAAAAATATACAACAAAATCATTAGCAAAAGAGCGGAAGGTCATGAGTTCGAAACCAGCCCGGATCGGAGTGAGCTTCCGAACAATTCTGTGTAGCTTGTTGTCGACCTTTGCAACCCGAAAGACAGTTGCATCTGTCAAGTAGGAAAATAAGGTACCACCTTGTGTGGGAGGCTAAATTAACTAATTTATGAGTCCATAAAAATCTCCAACAAGCATGTGGGGAATGAAGAGTATTTCATCAGTGTCGCTGATGGACGGAGAAGCGACAGCTCCCCTAGTGGCCAGAAAAAGTTGGAATGTTAAATAGCCTCTGACTGTCTGTCTCTATGTGTCGTGTGTCTATGGCATTGAATGTTTGCCATGTATATGTACATTGTAATCCTCCCTGAGTCCCCTGCAGGGTGAGAACGGCAGAATATAAAAACTGTAAATAAATAAATAAAATTTTGACACAACAGAAGACCAGTTGACTAGACATGAGCCAGAGGATGAAAATCAGCAGAAGGGGAGAGACAAACCCCTGGAAGAGCAGAGTGAGAAAAAGGAAGAGGAATAAAACAGGGAAAAGTGGATCTGACCGAAAAAGGATGACCACTAAAATGGGCAAAAATGTTGAAAAATAGTAGGATTGTGGTGTTGTAATCAGTAAAATACTGCTTCAATGTTTGATAATTCTAGAAATAGTTTAAAATTAAAGGGAAGGTTGTAGTGGGGAGAAACTAAGAATTGGTGAAGGGGAAAGGATAGTTTGTGATTTCAACTGCCTTAATTCAAATTGAAGGAATGGTTTTGTGACTTGCCAGAACTCATCAGGAAATAATTTTAAAAGTAACAATTAAACACTGTCACTGCTGCAAACGTTTCTGAAAGTGAGGGGAGTGGGAATATAGAGTTAGAAGAAGTATACATGCTTTACAATTAGGTATGGCTGTCTCAGGAACTGCAAGATTTCTATGGATAAAAATTGAGTATGGGGATTAAGACAATTTCAGGCCTCATAGACCCTTTAATTTGCTGGAACTTCAACAGCTTTTGCATTTTATATAGTTGGCCTAATTAGAGAAAATGTTTTGTTTTCAGAAGAATCCTGTTTTGAGTAGGAAATGCTAATTCTTGAGTTTTCTGTTACAGAATGTTTGATGTTGGGGGCCAAAGATCGGAAAGGAAAAAATGGATTCACTGCTTTGAAGGAGTCACAGCCATAATTTTTTGTGTGGCACTTAGTGATTATGATTTGGTCCTTGCTGAAGATGAAGAAATGGCAAGTAAACCCACATTGTACACATCAGATAGGTGTAGAAACACCTTTAAAAGTTAGTCTGTAATCCACTTTTATTCTTTCTGTTCACTAGAGATGTACTTTAAATTTTTAAGAGGTAGTAATATCCTTTTATAAACTGGTAATAATTCATGTTTATTTATTGGCTTCTATAGTAAAATTAAAGCGCCACAGCTTGGGCAGAGTGATCAAACAATCCCACCGCTGTGACCAGTATAGTAAAAATTAGGCTGACCATAAGTTGAATATATCAATGACCGATGTTATTGGTAGTATTAGCCGCCACCACCTCAGCTTTATTGGTCTGAGGAACCAAAGGTGTGAATGTGTTGTAGGTAAAGTGTGTTTGCCCTCTTGGTTCTTCTATTGCTTCTTCACTGGCTGACTGGACTTTAAAAGTGCTTGACAGACTGAAACTGAGACCAGTTAAAAGTGAACTAGAAAAGATTTATTGAGCTTTAAACAAACATCTACTCATAGAATGAGCGGTACAGAAGCGTAATTCAGATGTAGAGACTTAGATGAATTAAACAGTTAGTTCTACTGACCATAAAGCTTTTAAAACTGTGAGTTTCCTTAAACACACTGTTCTATTCTTAGAAACAGTATCTCTTAGAGAGCAGACTCCTGTCTGTCTCTCACACAGGGCAATAAGATATCTTAAACTTCTCCTAAGTTTAATAAGACAAAACTCTCTTTTACTGGTCCTCTCAACTCAGTAAAACCCTAGCCTTTGTCTCAACCTTATTCCCTAACCTTAAGGCTCACTTTCTAGCTTTCTTTCCTGTCAGAACCCTATTTTAGCTTCCTCTCTTAAAATCTCATCCTTCTGTGTCTGATGTTAAGACACACCTCTCCCTCTCTGTCAAAAAACTGACAGCCTCTTTCCCTCTCTCAACCGACTCCTCCCCTAATTGCTCTACCCAATCAGGAGTCGGCTTGACGACTCCTCCAGCTTCTGCCTGTCTTTCAAGATGAAAGCTACTGATATTCAGGCTTCGGCCTGGTCGCCTAAAAGGTAGATTTCACTACAGCTTCATTTATACTTTTATAATTATCCTTTCTCACCCCCACAAGGGGACTCAAGGCGACTTACAACTCCAGCAAGATTCAATGCCGTTTAAAACATAACTATAAAAAAATCACATCAATTAAACAGTTAAACAAATAAAATGCGTAGAATAATAATCTATTAAAAACCTATAAATTTCATGATACCATTCATCTAGTTTCCTTTTTAAGGATCTATGACACGGCAATAAAGGCTGCAAAGGCTGATTTAAGGCTGATATCCAAACCGGGGGGGGGGGGGGGATTTCTCCAGTGGTGTAGGGCTCAGACACCCTGTGATAATATGGCATGTCTCATTAAGAGCCACATCCACTGTTTTAGTGTGGTGAGATGTGTTCCACACTGGGCATGCGTACTCAGCAGCAGAGTAGCATAGTACAAGGGCAGATGTCTTCACTGTATCTGGTTGAGATCCCCAGGTAGGGCCAGTCAGCTTTCTATGATATTGTTTCTAGCACCCGTCTTGATTCTATCACTTATATTGTTACCAAAAATTTAATAAAAAATATAAAAAAGCACACAACAACAATCCTATCTCATCAGCCAAAAGCAGGCCCACACTTCCCATTGAAATGCTAGTTTATATTTGTTAAAATTGTTCTTCATTTTAATTATTGTATTCTTTTTAAGTGTTTTTTTTTTTTGCACTACAAATAAGTTATGTGCAGTGTGCATAGGAACTCATTCATGTTTTTTTTTTCCAAATTATATTCCAGCCCTCCAACACTTTGAGGGATTGTGATCTGGCCCTCTGTTTAAATTGTTTGAGGCCCCCTGGTCTAAACTATAGTAAACCATTCAAATCACTGGGATGTTGTACTCCACGTGTGAGCAATCAGCATGATTCAGGTCTATGTGATAGCATACTACTTGTGTAGTACTTTGTAACTTTGGTTGGTGTAAACTATATAAAGGCATTCTACAAGGTTAGCATTGCAGAATTGTTGTAAGTGTAATGCTGGCATAGGAAGGAACTATGTGATGGTGTATGATGTGTAGACACCCCAGTATTGCTCCCTTGCTCCAGGAGGGGCACACACATGCCACCTTGTTATGGCCCCAACTTTACTGAATTAAAACGATGCCCTGTTGTGTATCATTAATGGGCACAAAGAGTTTGTGAGGTATGATCTTCAAGCCTATTTAGATTATGGCTCATTTATTTTATAAATTTGAAAATGCAATATTTCTTTTAAAAAAAAAAGACCCTAAAATCTAATCTCATCAGATGCAGAGCGTTCTAATTATACGGGGAAAGGGCATATTGTGAGCACAATTTAACATTTTTGAGGACTAGTTCATTAAATAGTAAAATGAGTGGGAGAGTGAAGTTTAAAGGATGGAGATGATTATCTAAAATATATAATTATCCAAAAATAAATTTTACTCCCCTGCATTCAGTATTTTGGGCATTGACCTTCTGAGGAATTAAATAATTTGCAGAATTTACTGATACTCAACATTAAAACAAATGGGTTTTGGAGGGGTTGATTTTTGGAAAGGCTAAATTAATGTATCATCTTCTTTTTCAACTGCAGAATAGAATGCATGAAAGCATGAAATTATTTGACAGCATTTGCAACAACAAATGGTTCACAGACACCTCTATTATCCTCTTTTTAAATAAGAAGGATCTCTTTGAAGAAAAAATCAAAAGGAGTCCTCTCACTATTTGTTATCCAGAATATCCAGGTATTTATATTTTTAATGGGAAGGGTAAGATGAGATAACGCCTTTGACAGCGAGGGGGGGGGGGGAGAGGGTGTTAGATTTATAAATAAGACTAAATACCTGGTAAGATTTGGATGGTTTTCTAGCTCAGAAGGAATCATTTCATAGCATATGTGGATTCCACTGACATCTTACATAAGACTATATGCTCTATCAAATTGTAGTATTATTATCAGATTAACCAGATACGTATAATCTGTGTGTGAATGGAGTTTGGTTTTAATGTAAGCTTTTGACTGATCTGTTGATAGTAATAAATTTCATTCAGTATAAGTTTGAAGATGAGTTATATGTTCACTTATGTACAGTACCCAGAAAGCTTCAGGTTTAGCATTATTTTCTTCTGAAGAACCAAGTTGTGATGACTTACTGCTTATTAGCCGCTCCGAGTCCCCGTTGAGGGAGATGGTGGCAGGGTATAAATAGTTTATTATTATTATTATTATTATTATTATTATTATTATTATTATTAATGTTTTAAAAGATATTAGGGTATTGGTTATAAACATGGGATTTTGGCTTGCATCAATAGGAGCATAGTGACTAGATCTAGGGAAGTAATTCTAACCCTCTATTCCACTTTGGTTAGACCACACCTGGAATATTGTGTCCAATTCTGGGCACCACAATTCAAGAGAGATATTGACAAGCTGGAATGTGTCCAGAGGAGGGTGACTAAAATGATCAAGGGTCTGGAGAACAAGCCCTATGAGGAGCGGCTTAAGGAGCTGGGCATGTTTAGCCTGAAGAAGAGAAGGCTGAGAGGAGATATGATAGCCATGTATAAATATGTGAGAGGAAGCCACAAGGGAGGAGGGAGCAAGCTTGTTTTCTGCTTCCCTGGAGACTAGGACGGAACAATGGCTTCAAACTACAGGAAAGGAGATTCCATCTGAACATGAGGAAGAACTTCCTGACTGTGAGAGCTGTTCAGCAGTGGAACTCTCTGCCCTGGAGTGTGGTGGAGGCTCCTTCTTTGGAAGCTTTTAAACAGAAGCTGGATGGCCATCTGTCAGGGGTGATTTGAATGCAATATTCCTGCTTCTTGGCAGGGGGTTGGACTGGATGGCCCATGAGGTCTCTTCCAACTCTTTGATTCTATGGTTCTATGATTCTATGTCTCCCATGAAACTCCATGTTTCTCAAGAAGTGAAAAAGATCAGGAATGCAGACAGGCTTTCTTGAAAGAAAAGTTTGAAGTTCATGTAACAAAAAATTGCCTCTGTTACAAAACATATTTCCAATTTACGTGACGCAATGGCGAGGCTAGAACGTCTGGCTAGTTCCTCTTTATGAGCTACGTATTCTCTAGAACAGTGGTTCCCAACCATTGGTCCTCCGGGTGTTTTGGACTTCAGCTCCCACAATTCGTAACAGCTGGTAAGCTGGCTGGGATTTCTGGGAGCTGAAGTCCGAAACAACTGGAGGATCAAAGGTTGGGAATTGCTGCTCTAGAACATGTCTCAGAATTGCTTCCAACACAGAAATGTTTATCGCAGAGGTTTTGAGGCTGTGCAGTGAATGAGTCACAAAGAAGAGCATTTCCTAGTAGAATGTGTGGGTGGAAAATCTGTTAGAAGAGGTGTAAATGTTTGACAAGGAAGATCCTTTGGCACATCCTTTAGAAAAGTTATACACATTTTATAAGGTTACTATTTTTTTTCCCTGCTATAATGACTGCTGACGCATCTGGAAAATGACTGATGTGTAATTTCTAAATCTTATTTGTAATAGCAAAAATTGGAAACTGGCCAGTAGACATTCAGAGTGATGAAGGATTATACCAGCACAAGCTTTCCAAGAAGAGTTCATATTTAGTCTTGCTTTCGGAATGCATTAATAACAATAATTTCATTTTTATAGTGCACCAGCAGACAGCCTATCCCAACTGCTTGAGACTGTCAGAGTGGTCCTTGAGGTTCCCCAGACTTATCGTCTTGGGGGATTTCAATGTCCACACTGATGCAGACTCTTGTTCATTAGCGGCTGTGGACCTAGTGTCTACCATGGAGACACTAGGACTCTCACTTTGTAGTACTGGGCCCACGCATCGGGCAGGACACACGTTAGATTTGATTTTCAGCAGAGGAATTCAAGTGACCCAAGCCTCCACAATAGAGGTTCCATGGTCGGATCACTGCGCCCTGAGAGTCCAGTTGGAGCATGCCTACCCACGCTGCAAGGGCGCCGAGCCAATTTGGGCTCGCCCAAGGAGACTTATGGAACCCAGTAGGTTCCGGAATGCTCTGAGGGATCTGGAGCCTGCCAGCGACTCGATCGATGTGCAGGTGGACACATGGAACATCAGGCTATCCAATGCACTCGACGAGATCGCCCCTAGACGCCCTCTCAGACCCCGCCGAAATCGGTCTCCTTGGTTCACCGAGGAACTTCGACTGATGAAGCGGGAAAAGAGACGGCTGGAGGGCGTGTGGCGAGAACTCTGTGACGGAGCATCGAGATCAGCTTATGAGGCATTTAGGGAGTCCTATGAGCATGCTATCACCAAGGCAAAGCGAGTATATTATGCTTCTTTGATAGCGTCTGCTAGCTCACGCCCGGCAAAATTGTTCAAAATAATTCGATCTCTAACAACGGTTTCTACCGTCCCAAAAAGCAGTGATCAGGCCCCTTCAGCTGAGGTTTTTCAGAGCTATTTTGCAGACAAGATCTCGCTACTTCGCCGGGACCTCCCCGCCACAATTGATACAGTGAGAGAACTTGAGACCCCGTGGTCACTTGCTGGGCCCATCTTCGACCGGCTCATCCCGCTGGACTCGGGCTGTCGATAGGCTCATAGCTGCAACTAGACCGACCACTTGCTCCCTCGATCCGTGTCCCTCTTGGTTGGTGAAATCCTGCTTGGAGGGATTACGTGACCCTCTGTTGAAGATTATAAACAGCTCCCTTGAGCAAGGAGTTTTTCCAGAGGGTTTAAAAGAGGCGGTGGTCTCTCCCCTGCTGAAGAAACCAGACTTAGATTGTTTGGTTCCCTCCAGTTACCGCCCAGTTTCGAATCTCTCGTTCCTGGGCAAGGTGATTGAGAGGGCAGCAGCAGAGCAGTTGCAGCAATTCCTAGACGACACAGCCGGACTAGATCCCTTCCAGTCCGGCTTCCGTGCAGGGCATGGGACAGAGACTGTGCTGGTCTCCATCACGGATCACCTTCGATGCCAGCTTGACCAGGGCGGGTCAGCGCTGCTTGTGTTATTGGATCTCACAGCAGCATTTGACACAGTCGACCACAATCTTTTGACCCACCGCCTTGCTGTTGCTGGAGTCAGGGGGACAGCTTTAAAATTGGCTGTCCTCCTTTCTTCATAACCATGGACAGCGAGTGGAGAGGGGAGGCCTGGTCTCTGAGAGGTCCCCTCTATCTTGTGGGGTTCCTCAGGGGGCCATTCTCTCCCCTCTGTTGTTTAACATCTATATGCGACCACTTGCTCAGCTGGTTCGAGGTTTTGGGCTTGAGTGTTATCAGTACGCCGATGACACTCAGCTGGTGCTGAAGATGGAAGGCCGACCGGACTCTGTACCTGATTGTTTCCATCAGTGCCTCGAGGCCGTTACTGGATGGTTGCGTGCCAGCAGGTTGAGGGTGAATCCAGCAAAGACGGAGATCCTGTGGCTGGGTCGACTGGGCAGTGGGGACATCCAGCTGCCTACCCTGGATGGCGAGGCGCTATGCCCGTCATCATTGGTAAAGAGTCTGGGAGTATTTGAGGGACCGTCTCACCCCCTACCAACCCCAGAGATCCCTCCGTTCTGAGGACCAAGATCTATTGGAAGTCCCCAGTGTCAAGACCTTGCGTCTAACAGCAACCAGACGCAGAGCCTTCACAGCAGTGGCACCACCACTCTGGAATACTCTGCCACCTGAAGTCCGTGCATTGCGGGACTTACCAGCTTTCCGCAGGGCATGTAAGACATACCTGTTTCGACAGGTTTTTAATGTTTGATATTGTTGTTTTTAATTGTTTTAAATTGCTTTTAAATTTTGTTAGATTTTAGCTATTCTTGTAAGCCATTCTGAGCCCCAGGGGAGTGGCGGCATATAAGTTTAAATAATAATTAAATAATAATAAAATATATTAAAGTTAAAACACATTGAAATCATGTTATCCAATTAGCAGCCCTCTTTTGGCAAATGTTATGAATCTGGAAGGACAGTGTCCCAAAGAAATCATTTCAGATTTTATTTGTGAATGTTAAGTTTGTGTCTCTTCTCCTTTTAGGATCAAATACATATGAAGAGGCAGCTGCATATATCCAGTGTCAGTTTGAGGACCTGAACAAAAGAAAAGATACAAAGGAAATTTATACTCACTTCACATGTGCTACAGATACTAAGAATGTACAGTTTGTCTTTGATGCTGTAACTGATGTTATCATAAAGAATAATCTGAAAGACTGTGGCTTGTTCTAAAAGTTTACATCACGTTGTTCCTTCCCCCTCCCAATTTTTAGGTTCACTAAATGAGCGACAGTTTTTTTTAAAGATGATGTGTATTTTTTGAGCTTGTTTGTTCTTATTTATGTCATCTGATCTTCTTTTGGGTTAATTTGTGCAATCAGTTCACAGCATTCAGATCTGTTGATTTATATAGTAACAGGTGCAAACTGCCAGAACACTATAGCATTTGCTGCTTTAAACAATTTTATTTATGTTTGTGTAGATTTAAATAATGTTGATCAGGAATCAAAACATGTTGATTATGTGTCTGCTTTTAATTCTATGGATTTTGTTTATGCAAACTTTGAACATAATAAGTTAATAACATGTTTTTAAGTGTGCAAGTATCTCAAAGTATCTGTGTTTTAAAAACAGATTTTTCTGTATGACAGAAAATAGTAGGGATTTTTGATTTCTCATTCTTGAAGCAACACCTTTAAAAATAATTTTCTATATAATGCAGGTTGCTTTACTTTTTCCTTAGTTTTTATGTATAGACCTGTAAGTAGTTTGACAAGATTTGAATAGTATAAATGATTCTTTACTTTTGCTCAGGATTAAATGGGAAATGCTCCATTGGTTTTTCCAAAGATGGGTTTTTGTTTTGTTTTGCTTATTTCTTTCCAATTTCAAAATTATGTGAAACAATTCATTATTCTATTTTGTGTTTTTTAATCCCAGACATTTAACAAATAGAAGCCGGTATGATATAGCATATGGAAGCAAGATATTCAAGTATATGTCAGACTGATCTATACATGAATAGCACAGAACATAAAATTGAGAATCCAATGTAGGGGTTTTGAAGTTGTTTCATATTTGCTTTGAGTATGTTCTTAAGTGAGCAAGTATCTCAGACTTGTAATTCCTTTTTTGGAATTAAAACAAATAACAGAATGAGAACTGAGAGTTTCAGACATAGTGTAGTTTTATCTTGTCAACTTTCTTTTCCTCTTCCCAGAGATTTAACCATTAACTTTTACTGGTGTTCTGTTAAACTAATCCTACCATTTAAACATGAATTATTTTAGATAGATCAATAGATATCATATCCTTTGTCATCAAAATATTTTTGAAATACAGGGAGTTTGGTAGCATTCCCACTTTTGGAATGATGGTAACTTGGTTTATTTATTTTTTAAAAAACCCAACACATTTTGCCTACTAGCAGCATTGGCCTTCCTCAATGAGTTCACAAAAATAAAACTATAATTCAAATTCAAATTAAAACTGAAATTTATTATTAATTTATTTACTGTATTTGTATATCACGTTTGCAGACGACACCAAATTGGGAGGGATAGCCAATAGTCCAGAGGACAGGAGCAGAATTCAAAACGATCTTGACAGATTAGAGAGATGGGCAAAACTAACAAAATGAAGTTCAACAGTGACAAATGCAAGATACTCCACTTTGGCAGAAAAAATGAAATGCAAAGATACAGAATGGGGGACAATGCCTGGCTCGAGAGCAGTACGTGTGAAAAAGATCTTGGAGTCCTCGTGGACAACAAGTTAAACATGAGCCAACAATGTGATGTGGCGGCAAAAAAAGCCAATGGTATTTTGGCCTGCATCAATAGGAGCATAGTGTCTAGATCTAGGGAAGTAATGCTACCCCTCTATTCTGCTTTGGTTAGACCACACCTGGAATATTGTGTCCAATTCTGGGCACCACAATTCAAGAATGATATTGACAAACTGGAATGTGTCCAGAGGAGGCGACTAAAATGATCAAGGGTCTGGAGAACAAGCCCTATGAGGAGCGGCTTAAGAGCTGGGCATGTTTAGCCTAAAAGAGAAGGCTGAGAGGAGATATGATAGCCATGTATAAATATGTGAGAGGAAGCCACAGGGAGGAGGGAGCAAGCTTGTTTTCTGCTTCCCTGGAGACTAGGACGCAGAACAATGGCTTCAAACTACAAGAGAGGAGATTTCATCTGAACATGAGGAAGAACTTCCTGACTGTGAGAGCCATTCAGCAGTGGAACTCTCTGCCCCGGAGTGTGGTGGAGGCTCCTTCTTTGGAAGCTTTTAAACAGAGGCTGGATGGCCATCTGTCAGGGGTGATTTGAATGCAATTTTCCTGCTTCTTGGCAGGGGGTTGGACTGGATGGCCCATGAGGTCTCTTCCAACTCTTTGATTCTATGATTCTATGATTCTCAGCCTGCAGGTGACTCAAGGCGGTTTACAGGACAAAATCAATGCCCACAATACCATAAATAAAATTAAAAACATTAACATTTAATAAAAACCATAACAAGATCAATAAAACATAAATCATTAGTGTTTCCTTGTTAAAAACATTGTCTGGTCCTATTGTCTAGTTCCATTTTCCTATGTCAGTTACTGTGTATTTGCAAATGCTTGCTCAAAAAGCCACATCTTGAATTTTTCCCAAAATGTTAAAAGGGAGGGGGCCGATCTCATATCCCTAGGGAGGGTGTTCCATAGCTGAGGGGCCACCACCAAGAAGGCCCTTTCTCTTGTCCCTGCCAAATGTACAAAGGCGCAAGAGCAGGGCCTCCCCAGACGATCTTAAGGTCCTAGATGGTTCATAAGGGGAGATGCGTTCGAACAGGTAAGTTGGGCCAGAACCATTTAGGGCTTTAGTTATATTCTCTTAAAACATGCATATTATATTATTCTGCATAACATAGTACATACCTTTACACAGAAATTTCTGTAGATGTATAATATACTTTCCAAAGACAGTATAATATACTTTCCAAAGACAAAGAGCACTAGATTATCATCCATGGATGGACTCAGGTAGTCAGGAGAGAGAAAAAAGAACCCAAAATTTGTCACAGGGATATTTGATACAGTCATCTTAAATTCTATCTCGGTTTACTGTTATAGCTTCACAATATTTTTTAAATGAGCAATTGTAAATTAAAATTTTAATTTAGTCCTGTAGGCTTTAGTGATTTTAATCTTAAAATCCATTCTATCATTTTTTCTTAAGGGTATCTTAATTGTGATTGTGCATTTTCTCCAGAACCCAAAAACGTATATCTGATATGGAATGTGTTTCAAAAAAACGTTTGACTTAAAAGAGCACCCAACTTTTCATTTTTCGAGTTGGAAAGATGTCTTCTTATTCTTCTTTTGACAGGTCTGGAGGTTTGTCCACATATATTTTTGTACATATACATTGAGTGGCATAAATACATGTCCTAAAATGTTAAATTTGTGCTGTTTTTTAACTATAATTCATAAATTCTTTCATTTTGATTGTGGATGTACAGTGTCCACATGAATGTGTTGTACTGATTTCTTCACACCTATTATGCTAATATTATCTAGGGGTGTTTTGGCATCAATCTTGTAGTGATCACAATATTGTTGATATTTTTGGTTCTTTTGTAGGATATAAGAGGTTTCTCATTGCATCCTGGGATGAGTATCCTCCAGATATCCCAGGATACAATGGGAAATTGCTTATATCCTATAAAGCAAGCAGGAATATCAGGAATGCCAACACTGTTAGTGGCCAAAATGGTTTAGGCTTTTTAAAACAAATATATGTAGTGATCATTATAAGCCCATGGAGCATTGTCTCCTAATTTGATTTGACACTTCATACATGCTCATCAGTCCACTCTCTTGGATCCAAAGTGGCAATTCATGTGTGCAAAGTACTTCAATCTTCATATGAAGAACTGATGTACTGATCCCTTATCTTTCTAATGCTGTGCTCTGGTCTCTAGCCTTCATAGTTGATTTGGTGGTGTTACAAGAGGAGGTCTTCAGAGCATGTGAATCCACGTGCATAGAAATTTGGATTTGGGCTTATGTAGATTCCATTGAAGTTTTCTCACCAATAGTTTCTACTCTACTGAAAAGGCAAGCTTCATAATGAACATGATCAGGAATGCAAACCTCTGGTGCAATTAAGTCCAGCTTGTGTGTGCTGTGCTCCAGACCAACAGAAAATGTAAGTCTGATTTGCAGGTGCACTCAGCATTACCCTATGGTAGTGCCCTATATACATACACTAGGCTTGGCTGATCCAGTTCGTTAATTTCTTATCTCATTATTAAATCGTTAATTAAATACCTTTAGAAGCTATATCAACGTGTTTTAGCAACCCGGAAGTGTTTTTGCCATATCGAAGCCGCGTCCACCATCTTTAAAACGATTTCCGCCAGTTTCGGAAGTGATGTCACAGGTGCTGGGAATGCTGGGGTTCCAGCCAATGAGGAGAAGCCAGGTATTGGGGCATAGTTTCTGCAGGGTGGCCATTGCCCTTTAAAAGGAGCTGTGCATGCCTCGTGGCTCCATTGTGAGCCGCGAAAGGGATGGGGAAGGAGGGTCTGCTGCTGCTCTGCAGGGTGCAGGGAGGTGCCTGCCTGCCTGCTTGTGGCTGCCACAGGGAAAGACAGAGACCAGAGGGTTGTGAAGAAAAGCCCTGGTTGTTTCTCTGTCGGGGGGTCTTTTTTCTTAAAAGGAGAAATCTTTTGTCTTTTTTTTTGGCCACATTTATTAAATATTTTATTTGTATTTTATTTCTTTTATTTTATTTAATGTATTTTATTTTATAAATTAATTAATTTTTATTAATTTTAATTATTTCTTAATGTATTTTAATTTCACCCTAAATTTATTTTAATTTGGTTTTGGTTAGTTGTTGTTAGTTTTATCACCAAGAGTCAACAACAGAGGAAGAGGGAAGCTTCAGAAGTTCCCCCTATCCCATTTGGAGGTTTTTTTCGCGCATTGCGCAATCGCGTCTGCCATTAACAAATCGATTCGTATATTTAAAAATTTTGTAAATATCAAAATTTTAAAATTGGAAATTTCGGAAATCTTGTCAGATTAGAAATGCTGGCACCCCCTATATATGAAACGAGTTTAGAACCAATTTTTTCTTGATCAACCAAGCCTGACACACAAACACACATAGGAAATTGAATTTTGTAAATAAGTGATTCATTGCCTAAAATAGGAGCATAACAAAGTTGCCAGTATAGCCTTTATGTATGTTGCAGCACTGACGAAATACATGTTACCACTCTATTTTCCTTTTCTATTCCAAAGAAACAACCCATGTACTGTTATGTTTTCCTTGACTTTCCCATACAGAGTAATAAGCCTAGAATTTTTCAGCATTTATAACAATTGTCACATTGCTATTAAAGTACTTCCTCCTTCATCCCAATATTCTGAGCAGTTGCCAATATTAATTTCATTTGCTCTCAAAGAAATTCAGTGCTGTCTGCATATTTTTAAAGAAAGAAATTGTCATGGACAATCATGGCAGTTGACTGAACAAATCGTCTCTATGTGAAGTATTACTTCTGGAAATTGATTCATGTGCTCTGAAACAATTAGAGTTGTGTAGCATAGTATTTGAGTCATATAGTTCTGTCTGCTAAAGTATTTGGTAGTTATTGTTTCTATCTCCTTAAGATTGGGTTTTGTATATTATTGCAGCTTTTTTAAGTGAGAAAATTAAACTACAATAAGATTTCAATCTAAGTTATTTGTGCCTTGTCTGAAAGAAATATTTTTTCATTGGAAAAAAAATGATGAAAATCCTTCTGTAATTATAAGTAAAATGGAAACAGAAATAAAGTTTGAGTAAATTCAAAGACTTGTGTGAATATACACATATTACTGTGCCACTTTTTCCTAATGAATGAGAGATCTTGCCAAACTTGTTTAGAATGGCTTTTGTCTCGTGATGTGACTCCACTGTTTTCAACAAAGGACCATCTTAAGAGTAGGACCATCTAAGAGTCATTACAAACCATCACCAGAGAGTGACAGAGGTATTGGATTGTTGTAGGCTTTTTCGGGCTATATGGCCATGGTCTAGAGGCATTCTCTCCTGATGTTTCTCCTGCATCTATGGCAAGCATCCTCAGAGGATCCTCACTACCTCTGAGGATGCTTGCCATAGATGGGGGTGAAACGTCAGGAGAGAATGCCTCCAGACCATGGCCATATAGATCGAAAAAACCTACAACAACCCAATGATTCCGGCCATGAAAGCCTTCGACAATAGACAGAGGTATTGTTTACATCAGTAGTTGAGTAAGTGTTTGTTTCTTGTTTAAGCTAGGCCTGGGTAACAACGGAAAAATTTGTTTCTAAAATCGATTCGTTTTTTGGGGGGTTTTGCGTTTCG